TATTATATTTATTTTATGTTAAATATTTAACTACTTACATTAAGGAATTATTTGATATTTTCAATTCAGGTTTACTTCAGTAACTTCAGTTCTAATAGTTATCCCTCCCAAGGCCCACCAGCGGCCGAGCGGTAAAGTCGCTGAACACTGGTAGTTCGGTCCGAGGTTCGAATCCCGCGAACGGGCTGGCTGCATGGGCGTTTTCGTGGTTTTCCCCATGTGTAACGTGTATACGAGCCAGTTTCCCTTAGAAAGCCCTCCACGAAGGCATTCCTCCCCTTAGGCAGATAGCCCTAATGTGCTTTGCCATAATTAAATACACACACACACATCCCTCCCAAAATTTTAAAATTTGAACTTCGCCGGAAAAAACTTGGTCAAATTTGCTTCACTCTCCATTTGTTCCACTTTTTCACCACGTGAAAAAAAATACATTTGGAGAAAATTTGTATTTTAACGTTTTCTTCTTATTTTGACTAAGTTCTATTTTTACCTCTATTTTTTATCTGTATGTTATCTATATTTTATCAATAAGGTGCTCGAAATAATAATAGATTTGGCTTTAAAAAAGTAGGCTTATAGGAAAGTTTAAGTTCAAACTTTCCTATAAGCCTTCATTCCCCTAGTTGTCTATTCCAGATGAGTTAACCCTTTCCAGCACGCTACCTTTTAAAGTTGGAGTTTTGATTAAAAAAAAGGTAGGCAGTCTAATTAGGCCTAGAGGAGTACACAAGTAAAATTTTGGGAAGATAGCACTTATCGTTTCATTCTGTGGGTGTGCCCAAAGTGGGCACACTGATTGGAATAGAGCTTCGAAAAGAGTGCTGAAAAGAGCATTGTTGTCAATGAACTGACCGATGAGATGCGGACAAACAAAGAATACAGACTCTCAGTTGTCCTAGATTATCAGTGAGCCCAGTCTGGGCACACCTAGGGAAAAACTAATATAGAATAAGGATCTTAGCGTACAGCCAAAAAAATAACATAGAAATTTCTTTTCAAACAATTCCTTTTATACCCTAAAAAAATCTGGAAGATTTCTTTGAAAAATGAGGGTCTTAAAAAACTAAACATGGCTAAAATATATGGTCTGGTTTGTGTTAAGGTTCAGAATAACCTATAGTAACCTATAAATAATTTTTCATTCAATTTTTCTGTGCGTACAGAAGGAAATTTTTAGGTGTGTCCAAATTGGACACACTGTGCCGCAAAGGGCTAAATGTTGTAGCGCTTGTGAAGGAATGCATACTTCTACTTTGTAAAAAGTATTTAAAAGCTCAGTTTCGGTAGGAAAAAGAGAAAGTTAGGCAACCCTCTGCCGTAGGACGTTTGCTTATTGCTAGTTCAAGTGGCTTAATTGCATTTATTTGCTGCCACTAGCTTCGAAGGGGGTTTAAGTTACGAGATCTCGCTGAGCCCTGTAGTCTAATTCTATCGCTTGTTAATACCTTCAAATTTTTAGTTTAGTTACCGCCCAAGCAGAGACGAAGTTTGTTAGCGTCGAGTTGACGCATTGAAAATTTTCAAAGATTTAATAAAGAGTACATTAACCCTTCTCTTGTGTAGTTTTCTGCTACTCCAGTTTCAGAAAGAAGTTCATCTATTGGACTCTACAGTGACGCCCGAACTAAACGGGTATTGGATGATGATTCTCCACACCCAGGATTTGGCGATTGTATCCCCTAAAAACCCCAGTCGCCCTTTAAAAAAATGGGGAGTATAACAGGTATTTCTCCCGCCTTCTTAACGAACTTTCGTGGGGTAGTAGTCTACACGCTCAACGCGTAATTGAGAGGTCCATGGTTCGATTCCCGGCGAAGGCGTTGCTAATGTTTCAATTCTCCTCCTACCAAAAATGTACCTAATGTCTCTACAAATTAAATAACTGAATTAAAAATTTTATACTCTATGTATAAAGAAGATTGATAATAAGAAATTTCTAATACTGCTAAATGCATTTTACTTCCATTCCCAATAGTTTTATTAAACATTTCTAAAATCACCTTCTAATTCACTGCAGAATTCTTCTTTCTTTATTCATAATGTGAGTTGCTTGTGTAAATATTAATAGGACACCAAATGGAATTTAAGGCCATGGCAAAAAAGTTTCGCCTTAGGTTATACAAAGGTTTCTCAGTTTGCCACATTCCCGGTGAAAACTCAATTTCTTACTCACTTGTTGCTCTAATCGAAAGGCGCCCAGCTGGTATAGTTGTTGACGCTGAGGGCTATACCGACAGGCGCGGTCTGCATCCCGGAGAAAGCATGGATGGTTGTAAGTGTATAATGTCTCTAAGCGAAGGCGACAAACGGAATACATGGTTAGCCAAAAGTCTGCTCGAGAGGATGATGGTAGGGTAGAGTTATGGCAGACCCTCGGGCTTCCTCCTCAAAATTGAGGAAGGGGAAGGAACTGCACAGTTAATGCGGCGGGACTATACCAACACCCCCTAGAACTAACTAAAGGCCACGACGTGCAGTTCGTGACGTCACTGGAGTAGGGATACTTTCGTCCTCGCTAACTTTAAGGATGCCTTCTTAAATATCCATTTGACAGGCTTATAATTAAACTGAAATTTTTATATTTAATTTTAATCGTTTATAAATCGGGAAAAGACCTTGCTTACATTAAACTGTGAAGAACCGAAATTTTTACTTTTAGAATGTTTTCGATACGAATAACTAGAATTTTTTAATTCCATTAAAAGTTATTACTGATTTTACAAAATTTAATTGCTGTGAAACTCTTGTTAACGAAAGAAACTTCACACTTAATGAATCGGTATTTTATTTGTACGCAATAATTAAACAGAAAGACGATTTAAGTCATGAAAGCAGGATATAGATCCTAAAAAATTAAGATAAATCCTAACTGATTTTAATTAGGAAGCTATTTTACCTGGAATCATGTAACAGCATAAAATCATTAGTTGAAAACAAATATAATTAATCAGAGATGTTTATTGGTCAAGGCTCGTAGTAATTATACTTACCACGATTTATGCCTTGACTAATAAACATCTTTGATAAGTATAAGTAATATATCTTATTTTTGACATATGTTGCCGAATAATAATAATAATAAACACTCATGTTTGAAAAATTAACACTAAGCTTGCAACGATTTGAATAAGTTTCCGTAATTATGAGACATTAGTTGCACAGAGATAATTATAGATTATTTTGCATTCTAAATGGCAAATATCAAACCTCTGATAGATGTCTGATATAGATCTAAATAACAAACCTCTGATCTCTACAGGGAAATTTTATAACATGATTTAGCAATATTATGTGGAATGCAAATGTAACAAATCCTAAACTGGGATATTTGAACACAACAAATGAAAAAGACAATTATCATTGCATTATTACTGTCAAATAAAACCCCTAACATATAATGCCCTTAGGATGCACTAAATTATACATTACAGTTCTAAACAATTATTACAGAAATACTTTAGATAATATGTACATGCTCATTTTCAATTCAGTCAACTCAAGAGGAAGGATTGTTCCAAACAGAGGGAAAAGAAAAAAATCATTGATATTGTCTTTGCAGTCAATTCAGAATTATTCAAAACTGTCTATAAACGGCGAACGATAAATATTACTTTTTTTTTTTTTTTTTATCATATACTGCATTTCATCAAATAAAAATGTATGGCATGATATTTCATAAAGACTACAATTTAAATTCTTTCTAAAGACAGCACTTTACATTACATTTACTTTAGAAAGTCTTTAGAAAACTTTAAAAATACTTTAGAAATGTCTTTAGAAAGACTTTAAATTGTAGTCTTTATGAAATATCATGCCATACATTTTTATTTACATATGTATGTATATGAATGCGTATATATGTATGCCATATATTCGATTTCTTTGCAAAAAAAATTGCTTCGACATAAAATTATAAACATAAAATACATAAAATTGAAAACATAAAATTGAAAATAATATATTTGGGGTGAAGAAAGAGAATTTCAGGATTTTTAACATATATATATATATATGTATATATATGAATTAATGAAATTAAAAAATTAAAACATAATAAAAAATTTCATGAGCTTTAACATATACGCATCTAAGAGTTGCACTGATATTGCACTATACATGTAAATGAAGGAGGAATACATAATGAATACCTTTGATAAAAAAGAAATTAAACTCAGAATTTCGTAAATTTTGACGCGTGCAAATATATAGAAATGCATGTATTCTCTGAAGCTGGTAAAAATTCAAATTTCACTTTGAACAATTTGCATTTTGCGCCTTTAAAAATTTTTGTTCCTTGTCCACTGACAGAAGTTTTTGATCTGCTGCGTAATTATACATAATTACAATAACAAATTTACTTCACGCGCGTTATCGTTATCACATAAATGATATATTTTTATCGTCAAAACACTTGCATGCAAAGATTGTTATAATCGAATTTAATTATCTAAGCTAGAATTAAATACAGCATTTTGTAAAATTTCATTTGTAATGCTTTATATTGTATTAAGTAAATTTTAAGAATATCAGACATGAACTCATAAAAATTTAAATAGCGTATCTTTTCACATTAATTAATATTAGAAACAAAATTGTCATTAGGTACAGAGATATTATCAAGATTTTTCAAGATCTACAGATTTTAATAAATACGCTGTTTCTGTGACATATGTATTAAGATATTTAAATGCAAGCACTTTGTAACATACAAAATGTATTTAAAATTTCGAATTTTTATTAGTCCTACATTTAATCTAATCCTAACTTTAGGTCACACATTTGTTTAATTAGTAAATAATGCCGTTTTCTACAAATTAAGTGACTAGCATGATGATAAATAATGCCATCTGCTGTAGATTGAACGATTATCATGATGATAAACAATATTATCTGCTATAAATTAAATTAATAGTATGATTAAGTCATCATATTCGTATAATCACTATTATACTTACGATAAGATTAGAGTTTACTGCAATTTTGTGTGTTACTTTGTTCTAGGTGTAAGAATGTCAGCTAAATTTAGCGATCTTTTAAAAACAATTGAGTGTGAGCTGGAAGTTGACGTACAATATTTGACAGAACTTCAAAAGAAGGTAAGAGCTAAAAATTCTGAAAAATTAAGGAATTGTAGCAATTTTAATGCAATTAAAAATATGAATATGAATTTGAACAAAAATTTCGTATTTCATTGAGTTTTATTCAAAGTTAGAATCGATTTCATAATTTTTTTGAATTAATCTAGAACAAAAAGAGCACATTCGCACGTTAAGTTTTAAATAAACGTTTTTCTAAAATTAGTATAAAATATTATATTAAATTTCTGATATACGAGACACAGATGTACAAAATTATGTATGCGAGAACTGTTCACAAAGTACTAATTTATTAGTTTTTCAGCAAAACTTATTCTTTGAATTCACATTCATGAAGCAACTTTAAATAAATATTAAAACGGATAATAGCAACTCAAAAAACGCTGAGCCTAGTTATCCATTTGTATATGTCAAGTAATATAATATTTAATATTGTTGCGTTTTTCTTTTTCTGACATCAGTTGTTACGTTATTTTCTTCCTTCACGTTCATACGGGGTTCGTAGATTTGGAGTGAATAACGAAGACACTTGATGAAGTATCAAAACACGTTTTATTTAGCCAATATTAATCAGGACAGCTCTAACAACACTTTTTACAGTCGTCGAAGATCTACTATAAACACGCTGGAACAATCAGTGACACAACCTTCACACTGTCAGGCAATAACCATGGAGACAGCTTTCTGCAAAGCACCAGAGTACAGCTCCCGACTCTGCTTGGTCGTTCTCGGAACTCCAAGTACTCTTGATTCTCTCCAGGCTACAACTCGCGATGCACACGACGACAACATGAGCACAGCTCCCGACTCTTCGGTTCAGTCGTTGCCGGAGCTCAACATGCTCTCTCGACGATGCACTAACCGCGATACACTAAGTCTCTAAGAGACTCCTTCGGTGAACTCGACGACCCACTCGCCATTCGCTGCCCGGCTGTCAACTCGATCGACTCTCCACGGACTGCCTAACCCTAGATACTAATTCTCGCACGCTAGATACTAACTATCCCGCACTCAGAAAATGTCCTTCCGGGCCGGAGGATGTTACAACTCAACTGTTGTTGAGATCCGATGTTGCTGTGTCACGTCAGTACTAACTATGAACTCACGGGCAGAGATAGTTCGCGCTCTCTTGACGATGCACTAACCGCGATACACTAACAGACTTCTTTGGTGCACTCGACGACACACTCGGCATTCGCTGCCCGGCTGCGAACTCGATTGACTCACTAGACGAGACACCAACTCGATACCAACTATCTCGCACTCTACGCGAGGCACACACACACACACACTAACTGCGGAGCAGCACTGTTTATATAGCTTTCGGCTTGTGTTCGAGAACAGTCTGGGCTTAATCGGTAAGAATTGGTTCCAGAAAGTTCTCCATCCATCCATGGCATATCGCCAATTTTGTCGCCAAATGGGAGATTTTTCGCAAAATGTGGCAACCCTGCCTTCTCTTGCCATTTTATGGCTACCCTAAAACTGCTTTGTGGGGAAGGTATCTCACCACGCCTGTACATTTCGTAACAATATCATTCCTTTAGAGAATAATCAGTACATAGTTAAGTGCCACGGTAGAACTTCTGATTAATTTACTTTTCGAAATTAAAATGGGATTATTGACACTGATCACCTTATGGAATTTTGTATTTTTTGGTAGCATGAAGTCCAAACTCCTAACAGACTTGGAGCGAATTATCGCTTCATATGAGGAGAAATACAGTCTTAAGAAGGCTTAACAAACCTTTTAATTAAATCAGAACTGAAACATAAATGCACAACTCGTACTTAAAATCAGGAAACTGTTGTGGCGATGAAACTTAAAGTTGAAGTAAATTCAAATTTAAAACTAAATCTAATAGACAAGGGCTACACAAATGATTTAACGCGAAAATGGCTCAAACTTCTCACCGGGGTAGCAATTCAAATGTCGGCAACGATAATGCGTAAAGTCGAAGAATTAAATCTTATATCAGCTAGCGAGTGGCCTTGAGAGGCAAAAACACGCTTTGTCTTATAATCCGAAAATCTCATCTTAGATGCTCTCGAATTAATTTTCATTTTGGTAGAGACTGTTATTTATATGTGTTATAAACCGGAGTACAGTCGCAAATGTGATTCTCTATCTTTAAAACTAGTGATAACAATTTACTTATATCTTTGTTCATACTAGTATAAGAAATTTTTCAGAAAGTGGGTCAGGTGCATCGTGCAACGTCATCAATGACATCACACTAGGGGCGTGGCCAATGACGTCACAAATTGAGTTGAGTTGTTTTTAGGTTGCTGATTGAGCTGTAGACCCATCGCTTTTCATTTAAATTTCGTTTTTCAAAATTGGCTACATGGAATATTTTTTGCATCTTATGATATGTCGATGCTGCCCTCTGTTGATGAAAAAGTGAATTATACGTTTTAGAAACATGTTTTTAAGTCTGGTGTTAAAATTATTCAATGCGCGACTCTGAAAACAATATAAGAGAAATAAATATAAAAAAAGACTTCCTTTTAATGACAGTTCATCACGTCATGAAAATGAAACTACAAGATATTTTTTTATTACTCAATTTTATTTTGATACTCTTATCCTTTCTAGTTTTCCATGAGCATTGAAATTATTTCTTAGGTTTGCTATTCATAATAACATATTTGTTTACTGTCATATTTTAACACTTAGCGTTTCTAATTTGTAATATTTTATTTAATTTCCACATATTATAATTTTTTCATATCTTTATATAATTTTTAACATATAATTTTTACGTTAGATTTCACAAACGTAATTTTTCCCGTACATACTGTTTATTAATGCAATATCGTACTTTTTAATGCTATAATGTTCAAAATATTATGAATTATAATTTCATTTACATAACTACTGTTTATTGTAGCATTTAATTTTAAAACATAATTTTTAACATCTGTTTTTTTTTTTTTTAAACCTTTATAGTTTTCTATACACACTTTCATTTTAACTCTCTTGTTTTAAATTCTGTTTAAAAAGAAACCTTTATTTATTTATTTTTTTTTTATTTTAATTCTTTTACTTTTCTACAGAATTTCTAATTTCTTTCACATGTTTAATGCAATGTAATATATAGTCTTCCTTACACCAACCAATATTTCTGTTACATTTTTGTGTCTATAACTGTTAATTACTTTTCTTACGTTAATAATTTCCCTTCTTAGTTTATATTTCATTAGTTTAACTTATTTATTATACTGTTTTTATTTGTGTCTCATCATTTGTAATTCCAACGTTTTATTCCATTTTAGACATTAACACACTTTTTAACAATATAAATTGTTTGCATTTTGTGCATATTCATACATTTCCTTATAATTTTTAAAATACTTGTTACATTCTCCGATCATAACAGGTTTTACTCAGAAATTTCCTTTCACAACTTTACAGTTTAAGACCATTTATATCCAAAACTATTTGTTTCTCATATAGTTTTAAGGTCTTCAAAAGTTTCTGGGTAAGAAATATTTTAGTATCCGTAGATGAAACACTCAATGTGTAATATAAAATTAGAAACGAAAATTATGAATACACTTAAAGGTAATCGGTAATGTAAAAGTAAACATGATGTTAGAAACTTTTGAAGACCTTAAAACTTCCTTAAAACATGCACTTTCATCCACTTTATGGGTAAGAAATATTTTGGTACTCGTGGATGAAACACTGGATGTGTAATATAAAATTAGAAACGAAAATTATGAATACACTTAAAGGTAATCGGTAATGTAAAACTAAACATCATGTTAGAAACTTTCGAAGACCTTAAAACTATATGAGAAAGAAATACATTTAGTTATAAATGGTATTAAACTGTAAAGTTGTGAATGGAAATTTCTGAATAAAACCTGTAGATGATCAATTAAGATCGGAGAATGTAACAAGTATTTAAAAAATCATAAGGAAATGTCTGAATATGCAGTAAATGAAAACGATTTATATTTATAAACAAGCGTGTTAATGTCTAGAATGGAATAAAATGTTGGATTTACGAATGATGAGACACAAATAAAAACAGTATAATAAATAAGTTAAACTAGAATTATGAAATATAAACTAAGAATTGAAATTATTAACGTAAGAAAAGTAATTAACAGTTATAGACTTAAAAATTAAAAAAAAAAAAAATAAAATATTGGGTAGTTTAAGGAAGATGTGAAAGAAATTAGAAATTCTGTAGAAAATTAAATAAAAGAATTAAAATAAAATAAAAAAAAAATAATAATAAACGTTTCTTTTTAAACAGAATTTAAAACAAGAGAGTTAAAATGAAAGTGTGTATAGAAAACTAGAAAGGTTTAAAAAAAAAACAGATGTTAAAAATTATGTTTTAAAATTAAATGCTACAATAAACAGTAGTTATGTAAATGAAATTAAAATTCATAATATTTTGAACATTATAGCATTAAAAAAGTACGATATTGCATTTAAAATTAAGTAATGTAACAAATAAACAGTATGTACGGGAAAAATTACGTTTGTGAAATCTAACGTAAAAAATTATATGTTTAAAAATTATATAAAGATATGAAAAAATTATAATATGTGGAAATTAAATAAAAATATTACAAATTAGAAACGCTAAGTGTTAAAAATATGACAGTAAACAAATATGTTATTATGAATAGAAAACCTAAGAAATAATTTTAATGCTCATGGAAAACTAGAAAGGATAAGAGTATCAAAATAAAATTGAGTAATAAAAAAATATCTTGTAGTTTCATTTTCATGACGTGATGAACTGTCATTAAAGGGATGTCTTTTTTTATATTTATTTCTCTTATATTGGTTTCAGAGTCGCGGATTGAATAATTTTAACACCAGACTTAAAAACATATTTCTGAAACGTATAATTAACTTTTTCTTCAACAGGGAGCAGCATCGTCATATCATCAAAATTAAGGTGCAAAAATATTCCCTGTTGCCTATTTTTGGAAAACGAAATTTAAATTAAAAGAGGGAGGTCTACAACTCAATCAGCAATTCGAAAACCACTCAACTCAACTTGTGACGTCATTGGCCACGCCCCTAGTGTGATGTCATTGATGACGTTGCACGATGCACCTGACCCTCTGACTTTCTGTCGCAGAACTGTCATTCTTATACTACTGTTCATAAAACCAAAAGGTGGTATTGAGAATCAGTCAAGCTTACATGAAACGAATGCGCAAATGTTATACCACGCTTATCCATAATTGGAGTTAAATCCCGCTGTATGGCTGAAGTTTCATGATCAATGAGATAATGCGTAAGAACCAAAAATTTTTTGATACACTTATTAAATATAAAATGATATTTCATATAAATATTTGCAGTGTATTGTGTTATTATCTGCTTAAACAACTTTTACTCTAAACGTTTACAAAGAAATAGAGTTATAAGCTGTGATTTTTACTGTAAATGGTTATTTACATTTCTGACTTGATATGGTGCTATTGTTCCATAATTCACTGATATCAGAAGTCACCTATCATCACTGCCAGTATTTGTAAGACATTATCCTACAAAATGTATCCACGATGTTTACAGACACGTTAACTCATGCTGCCCGTAGCGTCTAAACTTGTCTTCAAGCAATGGTGGATAACAAAAGCCATCTCGATTAATGTTTAAAAATACTGTGTGTTCCTCTGAAGATCAAATACTACCATCAGGGGTTAAATAAAATTGTTCAAGCAAAAATATATTGGGGTCAAGTTTCATCCGAAGCTCGAAATTTACAGTGACGTTTACCTGGAGGAAAATCAATGGAGAAATAGTATCCTCCCCCCACCCAGCCAGCACTGATTTCGGAACATACGGTTGCGAAGAACTGAGAGAGCCTGAGGTAAAATTTGAGTTCTTTTTAATCTTTTATGTATAAATTCTTCTTTAGTACTTAATGATACACTATTGGCGGCTTCGGAAGAGTACTATTCTGCGTATTTTGTTTCCAAGACCTGCAATTAAATTTGGCAGTCAGTCAAATATACAGGACAACGATTTATACAATTTTATGCACTGATGCAACTGAGAGCATAAGTACAAGTTCGGTTCACAATTTAAGAATCTGACCAATGTTCCAACCTCAAGCAACTCAGCCTCCTTGAAATTTTTGCAATGCAATTTACAAAAACCTAAAACTGCAACTAGTCACATTTTCCAAGTTCTATGAGAACACTTTGTAGATCTGGCCTTACTAGAGGACCTTTTTTTTACTGTAACAAACTCCTTGGCTCACCAAATCATTCCAAAAACCTATCGATTAAAAACTTTGCTGTAATAGTCTATGAGGTTTTCTTTCTCCAACAACCATTTTCACAACGTAATACACGGTCACTATAGTATTTCAGTTAGCATTCTGAACAATATTTAGTTAATCATATCCACCATCTTTCCCTCAAACCTTGAACAAGATAGCACTTAAAAGAACCTCAACTACATTCTTCCAAGCAGCATTCCAGCACATGTCCATTGTTTCATGCGGAGGTTTCAATGCCTCAAGTCCTCTTTTGGTCACACATGCGTCTCTGCGAATTCATTTAGAAATACACAGAACTGAAAATAAATTTTAAACATGCATTTTTAGCCTGATTTTGTAGACAAGTAAAAGTGAAATACTGCTGTGAATGTTTCAAACTTGCAACATGTAATATAGTAAGCTGGCTATATCTAGCAATTTGTTTTGCCGTTCTTACTCCAGATTATGAGATATATATTTTTAGACCTCAACATAGCTTTAAATGTTTAATTTTCATAGTCCATAGGATCGTATCTCAAGAAAATAAAGATAAATTTATAATTTTAAAAAATGCGTTCACTTGAATCTTTTGTATTTAAAAATAGTACAATTCAATGATTATTAGCTCTGCTTTCTGCAGCGTATTATTGCTTTATAGATCGGAAGAAAAGCCTGTGGATGTATTTACATATATGATATGGAAGGTCTCACATTTGCGAAGGCTACTGATAAAAGAAGTGAGTACAATAACATTAAAATATACACATATATACTCGTTTTTATTTACATATTTTCGATAATTTAGTTTTCATTTCTGTCAATGAATGTTTTCCTGTAATATGCTTTTTGGAATGTATAAAACCATATTAAAGTTCGAATTTGCGTTCTTTTACGAAGTGCAAAGTCTGCATTCGCAGTGCAGAATCGTTGGAACTAAGCTACGGCAAGCAGTAGTATCAATCGGCTGATGCCGAAAGTTAGGACAAAACTAACTGCCAACTCATCTGTAAACTCAGTCAGTTTTTAACATGTTAGTTTTTTACGTTACGTATAAGTAGATTTAAATACAGTGACAAGATATCTATCTGTGAATGTGTGTATTGGAAGAGAGTTAATAAACTATCTGAATGTCATTTAATTCGATACCTCAAATCATTGGGTCCTGATCACTGGAAGGCATCAAAAGTTATACAGCTCAGGATTGCAAGGACTATTAATTACAGTTTTTCTAAATATATGGAAATTTCTGATCGCTGGAAAAAGATGATTGTGTCTGTGAATTTTGAAAATCCTTTCTTCAGTTGCATAATACTCTTCCCGCAGCTTGAATCTAATTTTATGTGATTTGTAGCATGTTTTCTTTTTCTTTTTTTTTTTTTTTTTAACTTATCATGTGCGTTGTGTCATACCTCGTTTCTATATTCAAATTTGCTTTTAATGCTATTATTATATATTTGCATCTAATACATATTTGTATATATCATAATCTTAGGTAAACATTCATAGCAAGCATTATAATGCTGTACTCAACACTATGCTTAGTGATGAATGTTAATATTACAATTGCATACAGTAACTGAAACTAGCGATATTGATAATGATGATAATGTTTTAATTGTATAATGCGTTTGCCGTGACATGTTCTGAAATATCTATTCATTTAAATTTTGCATTAAATCTATTTATTTTTTATTATTTATATATATTTTTCGGATAAAATTTCCTGCTGAGATGACATTCAGTTCCACATGACTTGACCTATGATGATTATCATTTTGGTTACCTACTGCCCGAAACACTGGTGTTTTAGTAGATATTTGCATTTGAAGTGTGTACGCACACAATGCATAACATTACTTTCTCGCTGAGGAAGCACTTCTCAGACCGTTATATTGTAACAATTAATCATTATATTTACTAGCTTTGCCAGTTATATTTCATTCACCAGTAGTGTTTACTTTAAATGCAAACAATTATAAATTTCTTATTAAATTTCAAGACTGCATTTCCTTTTTGTATTTCTTTTGAATAATTTTAAAATTCACTAATTTTAAAGTTTTTCTTCTTGTTATATACCTATACATATATGTCCCTTGTGGGTGGTAGAAATTACATTAAAACAGATATACATTTTCACAATTCTATTGTACAGGTAACGGAGGGCAGAAGCACCTGGCACTTTATTGGTAGACGTTTTGAGGTTTTTATTATTTTTTTGTTTTAATTTCATATTTCTTTAATTCTCATTTTGTATTTATTGGATAATTTGAAATTTAAAATTTATTAGTATTGAATCTCAGTCTTTTTGGGTCTTTGTGCAGAATGAGTGTTAAATTTCTTACTCTTTATCTCTCTCTCTCTCTCTCTCTATATATATATATATAATTTATCAAGCAAAGCAGTAATAACAATTTTTGAAAAACCAATTTTGGTCAAGAAAACATCTTGCGCAATATGCTGCAAAATAAGTAAAAAATAAAAATTGTAGAAAGCTCGCCTAAAAGTTACCAAGAGCTGCTGCTCCAAAAGGATATATATATATAAGACATAAAATATGAAAAAGAATTGGTAATAAATTTCTAACTTATTTTACCACTAGCCCTGCTGAATATACACTTACTTTTCTTCTTTCTCTTGCTTATCTAACACCGGTCTTGTCACTTTGCTGCTTTCATCTACTGTTTAAAGATGTGATACACGTATATATGTAGAATCGGATCTTACTGTCTAGGAATATGATGTCTGTAAACTTACTCCTTATGTGGTTGTCTAGGGGCTAATAAACTAGTCCGATTTATGTAAAACTTGAATATTTAATGAAACATGAATAGTTGCTATAAACTACAAAGTAATTACATACGTAGAAGGAAATAGATGAGATTATTTACAGATGAAGAGAAGGAATTACCTTTTACATGCAAATCGTCTTAATGGCATGTAAACATTAAACATCTTTTAATCGCGTCATCGTCTTAATGGCGGAATCGTCTGACTTCTAAACGGCCCAGAACTATACATCATAATGTTAGATGGTAGTTCTTGTATATATTTTATTATTTTCAACTATTTAATCTAGATTTTGTTTCATTTTTATCATCCTTTTCATCTTACTAATGTACGATACTGTGTCAAATATACGATAATGTGTAAAAGATATGCCAAAATTTAGTTGCTATTATAGCTTATCCAACGAAGACTTCATCTGTGGCCGATATAAGTCGCCACCCCTGATCAACTTCTTCACTACTGGAGACTTTGCACTTTTATTACAAGTGCACAGGACTTTTCCAGTTTATGGAATTTAACGAACTTTTACAGGTCCTTAGGGGATTGATAAACATGTAGTGGTAAAGGCCCTCGGGTCGAACACCACTTAACGAATGATGATCTCCGATCTCCGATCATCCTAAAAGTAAAAGATTTATTCTCACAGCTTGTCGCGTCATCCGATTATAATGAACGATGCCATCCCACATATATGTATATATGAGATATACGTCTATATGTATATATGTATACACGTATATCTGTGATACACGATTGTGGAGTATTATTGCACTCATAGTGTTGTGTGCGTAAAGAAGAGATGGATGTCTTAAGATATATCCAAGAAATTACGCGTCAAAAAAATAATAAAGTGATGCTGTGACTCTAAAGCTAGTTTTGCTTTCCGAAGTTCCAGTCATCTAATATGCAATCTGTATGTCTGCCATGTTTACAGTTATTTAGCCCATAACTAAAAATTTCATGGGTGCCTTCGCTCACCCAGAACCAAATACATGATGATTTAGTTTGGAAAGTTCTCTAGATAGAGAACAAAAATACACATATTTTATTTTTCTTTCAGCAATCGAAGATTTTATTACTTTTGCTAAAATTTACCAAGATAATTATCCTGAATTACTGAAGGCTGCAATTGTGATTAATGGTAGGTGTTATTAATATAAACTTTTTAAATATTGTTTTTATCACATTATGGGTTCCGAAATGTTTTGATAATTTTTTCATTACAGCCTCTGTGTACTTTTCTCTTCCATTTTCCATCGTGAAATCTTTCTTAGGAGGCAGTATTATCGACAAGATAAGTATTTACACAACAGGTAAGCTTTATTCAAATTTCTGTATTAGGTATTCTTTGCGTCACGTTATTCAGGACAAAAATAATAACGCTAACGAAATTGATGTGCCGTAATATTTAAATAATTTCCTTTTTGAAATGTGTTATGTCATTAAAATAAAGACTATTTAAAGATCGAAGTATTTACAGTATTGCAGATCATGTAAAAGTAACTTTTTTAATTAGCCACATTACAATAAATTTGAATGCAGCTAATTATGGTTCTCAAAGGATTTACCGAAGCATTAAATTAGCATTTTAAGCTAAGTTTTTTTTAGAAAGCAAGTATGTAAGTACGTGTTTCGCTTGCCAGTTAAGCGTAAAGTATAAGCTAAGAGTAAGATAGTCATTGTACATATTCATAAGATGTTTACGTGTATTAATTAACTATTTATAACTCTGATGGGAAATACTCTTCATTGACATTTATACGAATAAAAAAATGTTAACTTTTGTTCTTAGTTTCTAGGACTGCTTCTTTTGGTGATCAAAAAGGGTTGAAGCTTAGGCAGCTTCTTCTTCGTGTGCTTTGCTAACATTAAATAATTCAATTCTGATCATCGCCACGCCCACGAAGGCGTAATCATCGCCACGCCCACGAAGAACTGGGTAAATGTATTGATGTGGCATCTTGCCATAACGCCAAAAAGTATTAAAATTGCAATACAGGTATACGCGCAACATCCTTCCAGACAGCTTTCCATTTCTCCTGACATTTTCGCTAATATTTCTGTAGATTATGATCCCTTCTATGGAAATATGTAGGTTTTGGCATAGCAGTGGATCGCATACTGCGGTTTCTGTCATCTTCGGCGGAATCACAGTCTTAGCTTTCTGCTCTCGTCGAGCGTAATGTGGTAGCTTAAAAGCATCAGACGCTTCTTTTTTGCTTTTCCTTTTAGGATTTTATCACCACAGTCATGCGTGATACCGAATTTGAGCAATTCTCATACTAAAAGTTGTGGCTTGGCTAGAATTGCCGTAGTTTGAAACATTCTGCATTTGAATTGCTTCTGCATATGAAACTTCACATGCATATAAAACTTCAATTCAAAAGTCATAAAAAAGATAAATTCACACATTTTAGCGAGAAAAAACTCTTTTAATGAACATTTAGTCTCCTCGCTTATAAATAATGGGAATTTTTCTAAGAAATCATATGCACAAAGATCTTTATTCCTTACTAACATTCAACGAAAAGAATCGCATTGATGCGTAATAAATACAGGCTAGACATAAAATAAAATTCTTTGATATCTGAACCCTAACAGCATATTCACTCAAGCAACTGAAATAAAATTTCAGATCTTGTCATCTGTGGGTATATGCTTAAGATTGTTATGATTTAAAAGATCACGGTTATAAGCTCTCATGGCTGCAGATGCAGTGAAAAATGTGGAAATTTTTTAATGTCAATATTCACATCTTTGCTGCTTAAATTGATTTAATGCATTGAAAAAGCATAAACTGCGTTGCAATGATACAGGTATGACGAAAGGTACCGGCATAAACGTTTGCAAAGAAATGCATTGTAAATGACCAATGATAACACAAGAAAGAAGAGGGAAACAAATTTTTATTGGAATTACAAGTTTTCAATATAAACACTTAAACACAGTATCCTTTAGCGTAACTTTAGAGTTTCGTGGCCACCGTGATCTTCCGAACTCACTGCGATCGATTTCTATGTCTAGGATTATCTAAAATCTGAGATGTACACGTCAGATACACGTTGTCAGTCATAAAACGTGAAGTTATACAGATTCCTCCTGTGATGTTACATTCGTCATTTTTGTCAATGATCTTCCTCATGCAATGCATTATCACCTGCGAAGGAGGGCGCATTCATAACATGTAATTCTAATAAAAGATTTTTGACGGTTACAGTTACAGTGAAAAAATTTCGAAGTTTTGAACGGCAACACCCAATTTTTTTCTGCACAAATTTATCAGTATTTAAAACACCATAAATGACGTTGGAATGATACACGTATGACGAAATTTGCTGAGGTAAAACATTTGCAAAGAACAGCATTGTAAAGGACTAGTAAGAACACAAAAGAAGAGACGGAGGAAAAAAACTTTTATTGGGATTACATATTTTTAATGTGCCCACCTTCACAAACGATAACGCATTACAAACGAGAGATTGTTGACAACAATAACGAACGTTACATTCCAGGAATCTGTATTACTTCACATTTCTTCAACAACTTCACATTTTATATTATCTTTCAATTCTGACAACGTATATTTGATGTGTACATCTTAGATTTTACACAATATCAGAACCAGAAATCGATCGCAGTGAGATCGGGACAAGAAGGTGACCACGAAACTCTCAAAGGTACGGGAAATGACCCTGTAATAAATTGCTATACACGCTGAAAACTAGTAATTCCAGTAACAATTTTTTCCATTTCCTCTCTTGTGTTATTATTGGTCTTTTACAATGCTTTACTTTGTAAATGTTTCATGCCAGCAATTTTCGTCATACGTGTTTTTATACTTCGGTACCTCAGTAGGGTAATGCGCTGAACAATTCGAGCAGCAAAAACAGGATTGTTACCATTTGAAAATTAGCGCAATTTTTCACCGTAACCATAATCGTGGGAGCTCCATTGCTTTAAAATATAGTGTCTCAAATTTCATTTCGATTGGTTGAGTGGATAAGCCGCTAGGAGTTTATATACTAGAGGAGTTTTTTTATAACCACTCAGTGCAGTTAAAATACTGTTTCGTCAGGAATAATTATTTCACCGTCCTACTAGAAAGTTTTCGGTTACTGCAATAGTTATAATTACTGTTTAGTTTGAGAAATGACGCCCCTTTTTTAGTATTCTGCTCAAATGACACAAATATCTTTTTGATTACATTAGCTCTACACTGCTTCAAACTGAGACTCCAGCCTTATTCTTTATTTTAATCAATTGTTAGCAAAAAGTAATTCGTTGCCGCCCAGACGGTATAGTGGCTAGGGTAGCCTACTGCGGTACCGAAGGCAGCAGATTCGAATGCCGGAGAAGGCTTGGATGTTTGTAAATGTATAATGTCCTTGTGGCATGAGCGGACTATAAATATAAGGCGAGCTGAAAGTCCTCTCATGTGGTTTGCTTGTAGGGTGGAGATCCTCGGACACTCCCCCCTCGGCATGCTCGCGCTCAAAATTGGGGTAGAAAGCAGAAGCCCAGTCTCCTTTAGGCCTGGCAACCATTCTTTCATAAAGTTCATGGACAAGACAACAACAGATAAACCGTGATGACTTTAAATTGTTACAGGATAAATATCTGGGGATTATGGATTGCTATATGCTGCATAATCTTATATGAATCAAAACCTAAAGGTAGTCGATTGATGAAATTGGATTGATTAAATATTTTCTTCTTTACACGTAAACCTATTATTTGTTAAAATTTCCTTTTGAAGTGTATAATTATTGTGAATTTTTTTATCTCAGAGATGTAGCTAAATTTTAAAAAACTTCACACGATTGACATAAAACATGTAATATATTCTATTATCTTTAGATAGCTGGAAGGAAGCATTATTGGAACAATTCGATGCCGATCAACTGCCTGCATTCTTAGGAGGAACTAAAACTGATCCAGATGGAAATCCTCTATGCTTAACAACTGTAAGCGCTTTGAGTGTTTTATGATTGTAATTATTAATGTATATATTGCAAGTTGCAGAAGAAGAAAATAACAAGATAGATTTAAGCATTAATACGTGATTTATCCATACTGTTGCATTTGTAAGCAATATTGGGCCTATATTTACAGGTGATTTTGCCTTTATTTTGCCTTGTGAATGCATTCTTACATGCACGTATGCATACATATATATTAGATCAGAAATTTGAAAAAATAATTATTAAATGATAATTATTATTAATATCGCGCAAAATGCTCCGAAAATAATTTTAAAAAGTAAAGGCATAAATCACACAGAATTAATGTCTTTCTGTAGTGGTAAAATTGTAAGGTATTTTTCTCGCCTTCTTAGCACGCCTTCGTGGTGTGCTGGTCTGCACGCTGGCCGCGTAATCCAGATGTTCTTGGTTCGATTTCCGGCGAAGGCGTTGCTCCTTTTTTATCTCTCCTGCTTGCAAAAATGGTTGTGGATGATGGCTCTCCACAACCACATTTTGGCGACTGGGTCTCCTAAAAACCCCAGTCGTCCTTTAAAAGAGGGATTATATAAGGTATTTCTTCCGCCTTCTTAGCATGCCTTCGTGGTGTGGTAGTCTGCACGCTGGGCGCGTATTCCAGAAGTCCGTGCTTCGATTCCCGGCGAGGATGTTGCTCATTTTTCACATCTCCTGCTTCCAAAAAAGTCCATGACTCTCACTAACAGAAAGTCATTAGGATTACTAACAGAAAAGCACAAAATAATGTAATACATTCCAAAAATCTTTAAAGCAAAGCTGAAATAAAAGTAAGTTAGATTAGTAAGCATTAGCAAAAGGAAAGAAAATTCTCACTTTATTAAACAGTAGTTGAAATGTCTTTAATATTTTTCTAGGAGCGGCCGTAGAGTTTCCAACAGAGCCACTTTTATAAACATATCTAGATAAAAGCAAACTAATTACGAAAATTAAAATTAAAAGAATTAATTTTAAATTAATTCAATGAGAAACAAGTATACAAAATAAAAAGATTTAAAAAAAACTAGACCTTTTTATTTTCATTCATTTATTTATTTATTTTTGTCTCGTAATGCATTCATCTGAGTTAATTCGAGTGTCCCGAACTAAATTATTTCCATGCACTGGACTAAATACGTTCAATAATTTTTTTTTGTCAGATATAAATATAATTTAGACACACGGCAGCGTTTCAGCCAAGCTCAGTACAGACCGAAAAGAAAGCAATACACCAGCCATGCGTAATTTAAATGATTTAGATACTTGAAATTTGACACCAAGGTAGATAATTAGGCATAAACAAAGGAAAACGTCTAAAAAAAACTACAAGGTTACTACTTGCTATCGAGGTTAAGCCAAATAATCGATGAAATGATAGCGCAGAAGTACGGTGCAGGACCGGCTCTTTTTTTTTTTTTTTTTCATTTTAGTAATAGGTTAGAGCCTAACCACATATACATGTACATGTAGAATGAACATGTATATGTAGACATACATCTACAGAAGTGCGAAAGCACACCTAATGTTTCCTATGAGTAAATGGGTATAGTTTAATTCCACTTCCATTATTTATTAATATTTAGGACATATGAGTTACATAATACACAATTAAGAACATATGGTTAAAGAGATTAAAAGAAATGTTCGCAATCGGCGCCATTGCACTTATATACTTTGGATACATATCCAGTAAATTTATAATACTTAGAATATTTGATACTAATGTTGCTTACACTAAAATTTTGTGAAAAAATATTTAGCATGTAATAATGAATAATATATTAAAAGGGTAATAATTAATAATAAATCAAATAGGGTTCGTATGAATAAATCCTAACGAAACCATAACAATTCGTGATAACCAAATATGGTAAATTAAACAAATAAGGTGTTTTGCAAGTACATTATACTTACTTTGTGTTCGAAACACACTAATAATACATTATGAGTAACTCGCACAATAATTTTTAAATAACTTGTAATAAAAATACACAAGTTATAAATAATAAAGGCCTAAAACGCGTTGATATAGTTGAATAGTTATAATATATATGATATAGTTGAATAGATATAGTTGAAATGTCTTAGATAACACTTTAGATATTAAAGTTCTTGGATAAAAGATCGTGAGTAACTTGACGATATGATTGATTAGCTTGTATAAGTCAGCTTTTGGAAAACTCTTAGATAATAAAGTTCCTAAATAATAAGGTTTTTATACAATAAAGTTATTCAATAATAAAATTATTAGATAAAAAGGGTTCCTGAGAAATTTGAAGGTATGGTTAGCTTATGAATGTATAACTTGTATACGTCAGTTTTGGGAAAATTCTTGAACATGTGAGAATCTTGAAAGAATCGAAGAGTTTAATTATAACAGAGTTATTAAACCTACCCTATTATAGAGGTACATTATTTTATCGCGGTACTACATTATTGTCCTCTTGATTGACAAATATATCATTATCTTTTCCATTTTTTTTCCGTAGGTATTTACTTTTTATTGAAAATTTTATGAAGGCGTTAATGTTTGTATTACGGATTCTGATGTGTGATGCACTTGTAAGGGAATATGTACTAATATAATGTTTTGGATCTCATATTTTCCCACATACACATAAGTTTGTTACTGAAATATTCCTTTGATGAAAGTATGTGGGGAATGGGCCATGTCATGCTAGAAAGCAATTAATATGACTGTTAGCTTTTAGACAGTTTTCATACACTTGTGGGCTAAACTGATATGGTTTTCTGCCCGTTTCTCCATACTGGCAGTCACATTTTTTCACATGTTTAGTTTTATATTATTAAGTTGAAATTTTAGGTATGATTTTGGCCATGGATAAGACAAATTAAATGGTGTATTTTCACTTGTTATGGCTTGTTTAGCAGCTGCATCAGCTTCTTCATTCCCTTGTATGCCTACGTGAACTTCAATCTAGGAGATTCTAAGGAAAATGTGTAAATGGTACCTATAACACAAATATTTACATGGTAGCACATGTAAAATCACTGCAACTTTCAATGGTATTTTACCAAAATTGTGCTAAAAACACTTTTCTGAGACTTTTCAAATTCAGTGTAATTTTATTTAGCAATATGTTTCGAAGTCCGTGCGCTGTAAGGCGGCCGTGATAAGTCTTAATGTCACTTTGATATACGAAAAGTAAGAAATTTAGAACCAAATTCACGAAGACTTTAAAACAAAAATTTTTGATACTGTAATTAATATATAGATAGATATAGATATACAGTCAATGTCAAAACTTTTAACAACCAATGATAAAATTTCAAATAATTTTTTTCTTTTGAACTTTGCTTTTATCCTGAATGTGGAGTACGTCACATTTCACTTTCCTCATTTCTTGATAACTATTCTACTTCTTCGCCTGTTTTCAAAATTACATCTCAAAATTGTCACGAAGCTGGTGTTTGCCAACTACAAATAAAAGGAACACATTAATCAGGCTTTGTCTGCAAGTTTCTTCTTTACGCATCTACATGATGTCAACTTCTCTAAATTTTTCAGCTTTCTAAATTACTAAACCTACAAACACACACACACACACACACACATATACATATATATATATATATCAACAATTTACTCTAAATATCTCGATCTTTAGAAATCTTGCTTCAGGAGTTCATAAGCTTACTATAATTAGCACCAAAGAAGTTTTTCAATCCTTACTTTTCATTTTCTCCCTCTTGCTATATATCACGGTTCGAAAAAAAGTACATAAAAAAGTTGACTATCCCTTGTGCCGCAGAATCGCTAATAGAGGTGACATTGTTATAAATCTCTATAATATTTAAATTCTATCAATAACCCTTGTAACCCTTATAACGCGTTTACTCGAACCACTAAACGGTTCAGGCCCTTTCCAATCATGGAAGGTTCCCCCAATATCTAGAGAGGTTTCTACAGTTAAACGTAAAGTGCAGTTGTGGATCACCCGCCAGCACAGCAGATGCAGTCCATTACATCACTTCATGCCCACTCACCAAGTCGCTTAGATCTCCAGCCAACACCGCCCTACTCCATAGGAAAGGTCTCAGAGGTTACCTAAACGATTTCTACGGTCTCCAGGAAGTAAGACAGATTGTCAGCTTCGTCAATAACAAGACCATCATACAAGTCATACCAGGTTAAAACAGTGACGATATGTAAAAGGCAGCATGCCTTATATAAATATGTAAATAACTCACTTTTTCATATATATATTCAAATTACTAATCAAATTTGTTTGCACTAATATAACTAATCAATGTTAGTTGGAAAACTGACACCAAATTGTAATTATAAATGTAATTTGTTTTGTAATTAATTAATAACGAATGACCTGTAGTGCCCTATTGAGAGGCGAGGTAGGCTAAGGATTATTATTATTATTATTATTATTATTATTATTATTATTATTATTATTATATACTGCTTATTTTTGTAACTGTTGTAATGGATGAACGCTTGTAAAAATCAGCATGTTGTCGAATGATTTCCGAACTATAAGGTATCATTTAATGATATACAGCATTGTTTACAGCAGGGATTCCCATTCTCTTTTTTAGCATCAACTAATTCCTTTTAAAAGAATGGGTTTCATCATCGACTCATTCTTACATTTTTCCCTAGAATGTTATGGTATACTACATAATCAGGATACAGATAATCGCACATAAATAACTTAAAGATGATAATTCGCCAAAAATATAAACACAATTTTGAAAAAAAGTGGTTTACTAAATTTGTTTTTATTACTTTTTGGATTATTAATACTTTTAATTTTGCAAATGTAAACAATATTTTAGAAACAAAATTATGTAATCTAATTGCTCAAAAGTTCGATGTTAATTATTCCGGTGGTCGCACTTGATGTACTGATGCAAATTTTATGAATTTTTGACATAAAACTGATTAGCTTACATAAATCATCTCGTTCAAAAATATTCAATCTGTTTTTATTTTCCATAATAAGTTATTCAGTTAGGTAGAGCCTACTTTTACTCGGTAAGAAAATTCGGTTAGAAATGATGTTGTTCGGTAACAATTTTTATTTTGAAATATTTCACTTGGATGAATTTGAAATTCCAAATCGTAACCTACACATTTGTTTTGAATAAGACTTGTGCTTAAACTGCAGAGTCAGTAAGTTGATTCGAAACCGGAGAAGTGAAAAATGAGCAATGCCCTTGTCGGGACTGGAATCTTGGATCTCTCAAATACGCGCCGAGCGTGCTGACATTTACATCACGAAGGCATGCTAAGAAGTCGGAGGATATACCTTATATGCTCGCCCTTTCAAAGAACGACTGGGGATTAGGGGACCCAATCGTCAAATTCTGGTGGTAGAAAATCATAAACCACCACCTTTTCTAATTCAGGTGCCACTGTAGAGACATTAGGATATTTTGAAGCAGAAAGACGTGAAAAATAAGCAATGCCCTCGCCGGGACTCTCGAATACGCGCCGAATGTGTTGACCACTACACCACGAAGGTAAAGTATATCTTATATATGATATATCTTTTATAAGATATATCTTTTATAAGTTATATCTTTTATATCTTATATAAGGTATACCTTTCTTATATAAGGTAAATCTTTTATAAGGTATATCTCACCCTTCTTGGAAGGGATAAATACCTTTTAAAACCCCCTTCTTCAATGAATCATAATATCAAAATCAAATATATCGCAGTTCAGAGGTTCTATCAGCTATAATGGAATATTTGAACTTTTAATTTCTTACAAGCGAACATTAATGTTTGCAGAGTATGTAACAAAGATGTAGCTTTTATCAAGCAATTAATTATAAAATTTGCAATACTAACATTCATTTTGTAATCAAAGAGATCTTCATTATGACGATCGTTTGGTAGTCGACCCCCAATTGAATCCTTGATCATCACTCATCCCTTTTAAAATTACATTGATCCCTAGGAAACCAATACTGTCACCGATGGAAGTTAAACCAATACTGTCACCGATGGCAGCCACTGGTTTACAGCCTACAGATCTAGTCAATTGTCTATAGATCTGTTCCAATACTAAATTGTCAATGACGGTAGAACAAATCTCACAGCAACTGCAACAGTCTCTTACGTATCTTGCTCCGGTCTATAGCTTGTCGACATAAGCCAAGACTTTTAAGTGATAATTTAAGTAAAACAGTAAAAATCAAGTGACATCAGGTCTTAGCTGCGGCGGTATCCTCAATAACCTATCAAGAGTCCAGAAAATTAGTGATTTATTTTTATAATGAAGGTCTATGATATCCTGCATAGTATCTCAGTTTGTGCTGAATAATTCATAGACCTTTAATAAAATTAAATAAGTTCTGTGAAACTTCTTAATCTTCTTTGTTTCAGATTTTGCACGGTGGTCCTGTACCTGAGAAGTACTACATACACAAAAGCAAGAAATCTCTTGCTCAAGCAGAAGGTGTGAAGAAAATCACACTGTCCCGAGCATCTTTCTCAGAAGAAAAGGTAGAAGTGAAAGAAGCTGGTTCACTTCTCGAATGGGAATTCGAAACCAAGTGTAGAGACATAGGATTTGGACTTTTCTACCAAGAAGTAGCAGATGGTGAGGAAAAAATTACTGAGTTAGTTCCTCGAGAAAGAATTGACACGGAAGAATATGCGGAAACTGGAATGTATAAATGTGAAAAAGCGGGTACATGTAAGTATACTTCGATTACAATTAATACATTTCTTTTATTTTTTCCGTTTTATCAGGTTCAATGTTCCTTCTAACCTTCTTCGGGAACATACAAGGACCTGACTCGGAACAGAGAGCTTACTAAAGCTATGTTCACTAATTGTGATAAGTAGACAGGATACAGACGAAGGGTATACAAAACCCTTTATTTTTCTCTATTTACAATAACTTCCGTACTTCGGAGTACACAGACCCGCTACTTAGGGTCTAACGTAAAAGTATAAAAATAAAACTAAACTCTAATTTAACTTTAGAATAATACACGTGGAAGATTGGCCTTGTAATAACAGGAAGCCGTATGTAGTACAGAGAACTGTGAACACTACAATACGTTTAAATTTATCAAGAGGATTAAAACCTCTGGCCTGGAAGGCAAACAGCAACTGCGTAACTTCTAAGGTAAGCGGCCTGCTTCGAACTCACTGCTTCCTCTCTCTCGCTTGGCAAAAAGGCCACAACTTAAATACTTGGCGTTCGCCAGACAAACTTTGCATAAATAAAAAACCTTAACGCTTATAATTCTGGCCGGAAGTAGAAAATAAGAAGTGATAGTAAAGATTTAAAATAAAATAAACGTTAGTAAAACTTAAGATCCTTACATACTTCCCGCCAGAGTTAATTAGTTTGAAACTGAGGTCTAAAACGACCTTGTTGAAAACTTTTAGCTCTAGAATCTAACGCGAGGAGGCCAATCTTTTACAAACATTAACTTCGCTAGAAACTAGAAATTTAAAAGAAAGAAAATTTGTTTTTACAATAGCAGCTCCTCAGGATATACAACATTTTTTTTCATCTGTACTGCATCTAAACAGGAGCTTTTATTCAAATCTGGTTCCTTCCAGAGATCTGGAAGGAAAACTAGTTTAATGAAATGTTACACAATGAAATGGCAAGTAACATATACAATTATACTTCTCTTAACATTCTTATTTCATTCATGACTATTTTAATTATCTCTCCCCGTGCTCTCTGACATGTGTTGTAAAAGAACACCAAACACGAATGTGTGTTTCTGTCTACGTGTTCCACACTTCCTCCTACAATCAAAACACTAACGTGTTAAAATTCAACATAACAAGACCTCTTAACACACCCTAATTTCAACTCTAAACCCTGAGGTACTATTCTAAAAGTGGCTAACTCTAAAGTGTAGCGTCAGAGAGCCTAACTACATCATTCAACCTTTAAACACATATTCACCATGATTTAGTCTTTTTACAGTCACACGAATAAACAAATTTTTAACATTACTTTCACTTTTACCATATCACGGTATTTCTTAACATTTAAAATAACAGTTCACAGAACATATTCAACATGCCGTTAATTTTACAGCATTTGAAAACATACATTAGTAGTACATTGTTAACTTCTATTCTTTTCAAAGCAAGTGCCAATTCTTTCTACATTGAAATACTACATTTCAAAAAAGTCTTTCAGACTAAAACTTCTTTCTTGCCTAGAATGTTTTAAATAATATTTATACAATAACTTTTTACAATATTTAAGTTTTTACACAACGCTATTATACATCAACTTTAGTTTTTTACGCGCGAGTAATTGAAAAACATAATACCAAAATCGGTAACAACTCATTTCTCGCCCTTTTGGCGATAAAGGTAGACCTCGCATGAGGTAAAACTTCTTGAAATCTGCCACTTGCAGTAAGAATGAAAGATTAACTTAAGTTTGCAAAGTAACATAAAATTTTACTTATCTTTGTGATATTCGGACATTCCTTTTCTGGGCCCAGTCCTTAAAGGTAGCTGCAGATAGTAGTTTGATTTATCCTCCTTCTTGTACGGGCTCGCCCTTCAGTGTGCTTCCTCTCTGGAAGCTTTCCTTTTTTCACCAGTTCGGTCACCCTTGAATACCTTCCTTTTCTCCTCTGCCTTGTGGTCTTGGCCGTTTGATGGCAGCTGGTCTTGGCGGAACCGGGAAACTTCTGTCGTGTGTTCCTGCTTGGACCTCGTTGTTGCTGGCCGTTCAAATTTTCCTTGTAACTTTTTCCTCCGCCGCTGATGGCCCTTCCGCAGTTCGGCGACATTTGCTGCGGAGAGTCCTGTCGGATGAGTAGATCTTCCGTTTTAGAGCCGGGTTATAGTTGCCGTCATTTCTCCTGGTCCTCTTTCACATACGTCGTCCTTCTCCCTTCTTCATTCTGGGGGTGTTCGTGAACTCTCTTTTCTGGACGGTGGAACGGCTTCTTTTTCTTGTTACCTTCAATTTTTCCGCGGGGAAATTTTCTTTTCACTTGCTCCTGTCTCTTATTGGCTTGCCCTTGTACTTGTCGTTTTTCCACCTCTGGAGCTTGTGCCTGCGGTGTCTGCCGTGCCGGATCCTGCAAAAGATCTGAAAATATTTGCATTTTATTACGATCGAAGTAGGGTTTGATTTGATCAATGTTTGCGGAGCAGGTTTCACCATTTCTGGCTTTTAACACTACTACAGCGTGAGTTATTTTTTCTATAACATATGGTCCTTCAAATCGTGGAAAAAATTTGGCAGTTTTATCTTCTGGTGCTGAAGAAAGTGAATGCTTAATTTTTAAAACTTCATCCCCTACTTTATAAGTTACTCCCCGTCGTTTCAAATCATAATATAGCTTCTGTTTTCTTGTGCTACTTCCGTATTCTTTTTTGCTTCTTTAATTAGTTTTTCTATATCACCCATTTTAAATTCTGGGGCTCTTTGTTGCACATAAAATAATTTATCTAACGGTGTTATAATCTTTCTGCCTAAAATAACTCAGCAGGAGTTTTGCCCGTTGTATCATGTTTTGCGGTCCTAAGGGCGAAAGCAAATTCATTGACATAGTTATCCCAGCTTTTATGAAAATTTTTAACATAACTACGGATAATTTTCACTATATTTCTATTGACCCGTTCCGCTATATTTGATTGCGGGCCGATACGGGACCATTTTTAAATGACGTATGCCCAGTTTTTGGCACATGTCTTCAAATATATTACTTACAAATTGAGGACCATTATCCGATATAACTTTTAGGGGCGCCCCGTATTTTAAAATATATTTATTTAAAATAGAATCAGTAACTAATTTCGCGGAGGCTCGTTTTAAGGGAACAATTTCGGTCCATTTACTAAAATGATCAACCATAACAAGGAGATAGCGACTTTTATTTAACTGACTTTTTGGGAAAGGGCCCAATAAATCGATGCCAATTATTTCATTTGGAAATTCGGATTTAATACTATTTAGAAACCCGGCCGGGCGGAAATTAATATAATTAACTGCTTGACATGTTGGGCAGGACTGGACATACGCCCTTGTTAACTTTTGCAGTTCAGGAAAAGTAGACTGCCTCGCGTACGCGTTGGATAGTTTTTCGAATACCAGCATGAGAAGCTAAAGGGCTGTCATGGAGCTCCTGCAGGATATTTAATCTAAGACTAGCTGGGATAACAGGTCGAAATTCGTTGTTGGAATTCGTAGTTTTTGTATAAATAATAGACCATCTATTAGTTCGTAATGGGCCGCCCTATTTCTTATCGCCACAATATCTTGGTGGCTAAAATTTTCAGGATCCTTTCAAATACTCATAAATGCTTCCAAACTCAGGATCCTTACCCAGTTCGGTTATTACAGTTTCTCGGGAATTTATTGTACATGCTGTGAGCATTGCCACCTTTACGGTATTACCTTGTTCATCTATTTTAATTCTGGATAGGGCATCTGCTACGATATTTTCCTTTCCGGGGGTATGCTTGATTACCAGATTATATTCTTGCAGCTTGAGTGCCCATCTTATTAACCTTGGGGATAAAGTTTTTCCCTGAGTACAATCTAGTTACCGCCGCATGATCAGAGTACACTGTTATTGGCGCCTTTCCAAAATAGACTCGGAACTTTTGCACTGCTAACAGAACTGCAAGTGCCTCTCTCTCGGTCGCGGAATAGTTTCTTTGTGTTTGATTTAAAGTTCGGCTAAAAAATGCCACGGGCTGCTGATTTTGCGAAAGTACCGCTCCTACCGCATAATCCGAAGCATCCGCTGAAATTTCTAAATTTTCATCCTTTTCAGGAAATTTCAACACAGGGGCTTGCGTTAATGCTTGTTTTAATTTTTCGAAAGCACTATTGGCTTCGGCCGTCCACGAGAATCTTGCCTTTTTCCTTTTTAATTTTAACAATGGCTCAGCGATAGCTGCAAAATCTTTTATAAAGGACCTATAATATGAACAAAGTCCTAGAAAAGAAGAGAGCTTCTTTGCCGTGTTTGGAGTCGGATACTTTTGTACAGCGATTATTTTTGATTCATCTGTCTCGATCCTTTTTGAGATATTTTGTAACCTAAATATTTTATTTCAGGGGCTGCAAATTTGCCCTTTTCGACATTAAATTTTAGACCGGCCTCATTTAATAAAGAAAACACCTGTCTTAAATCCTGTACATGTTGGTCGAGATTATATCACTAGTAATAATGATATCGTCTAAATAGATAAATGTGGACTTTCCAAGAACAGGTCTTACACACAATGTCCATGCATCGCTGAAATGTTGCCGGGGCGCCTGAAAGGCCAAACGGCATACGCAAAAATGCATAAGTGCCAGACTTGGTTATAAAAGCAGTCTTAGGCACGTCCTCAGGCCTAACCCCTATTTGAAAATAACCAGTCGTTAAGTCTAAGGTCGTCATAAATTTGGTTGATTTTATGTTCCTTAAAATTTCTTCTATAATCGGTAACGGATATACCGGATATTTAGTTATGGAATTTAATTTACGGTAATCAATAGCGAATCTCCACCTTTTTGGATGCTCCAAAGGATAGTCATTATTTTTCTTACATAAAACCACCGGGCTAGCATAACTACTTGAGATGGGCGTTATGATTTTTTTTACGTAGCATATCGGTAATATGCCATTCTATAATTTTTTCCTTATTCTTATCATACCGGTATGGTTTTTGACGAACTGGCAATGCATCTCCGGTGTCAATACTATGGTTAGTAACCTGAGTAAATCCTGGAATATCACTAAATAACGAAGCAAATTCACTTACCACTTGTCGGATTCTTCTTGCTCGTCATTAGGCAGGTGGTCAAGATTTAACCATCGGCGGTTCAGCCTTTTCAGTACGAACTGGTTTCATTGTCAGCTTAAGGGACGCTTCATTAAAATCCAGTGTTGCTTGTCCGTCTGAAAGAAAATCTATCCCTAAGATTAAATGTGCTTGCAGATTCTTTACTATAAAAAACATCACCTTTACTTGTTCGTCCTTGATACGGATATACAAAGGTACTTTACCTACGCACTTACATTTTTCTCCTTGCGCCGCTAACACTGTTGTATTATCCGAATTATATATGCGGTATTTGCGAAAATACTTTCTAAAAAACTCTTCTGCCACACAGGAACACTGCGCGCCGGTATCCAGGAGTGCGGTGGCTGGGATATTATTCACCAAGACTTCAATCTTCGGAAGAGTCAAATTTTTCACCATTACTGTATTTAACTTGTAGGAAGAGGGGATTTTCGTGGCCTTCGGATTTCCGCACCCTCTCGTCAGCAGAAATCCGTTTTAGTTTAAATTATTTTTCCTTTCCGTGCTTTCCTTCTTTTTCCCCTGGCCTTGAGACTTTTTTCCTGGGTTGCTATTGAACTGTCGACGTTCGCCGGCTGTTTTTGAATGCTCGGGTTTCCTTGCCCACTGATTCGCTTTTTCTCCGTAGCCGTGTGCTTGAGTTTGCTGTAGTCTTGGCGTACCAAATTGGTTTCGCTGTTGATATTGGCGTCTTCTTTCGACGTCCGCCGTTCTTCTACTTTCAAACTGGATTGCTAGCTCAAATAACTTTTCCAGTGTAGTCGGATTTCTTAATTCAATAAAGTCTTGCACTTGGGGCAGTAACCTCGGCAAAATCACTTGAATTATTTCAGGATCCGGACGGTTTCCATACAAGAGCTTGAAAACGTGAATTTTTCTTAAAATAAAGCTCGAGAGGTTTTCGATTCTTTGTTGATATATACTAAAAAGTTCCGTTTCTAATTTCGCACGATCCCTTACAACAGGGAAGGCTTTTAGTAGGGCAGTCTTGAAATTCTCGTAAGTATAGGTGGGACTTCCTGCTTGACCCAAGAGACTTCTGCCTATACATTTGAACCAGTTAAGCGCTTGGCCCCTCAAAGCGCTGGTAGCTAAGGTAACTTTTTGAAACTCGTGCACGGGGTAGAGCATGAAGTGGTCATCCAATTTTTCCAAAAAACTGGTTACCGGTGAGTTTCCATTAAACGTTGTTGCTTCTGGTTTCATCGAAGCGCGCAGGGTCTGGACGATGTAACCGAATCCTTCCAGGGCGGCAGCTGGCATTTCTGGATTCTGAGCCTTTTCTGCAGGCAGCACAGGTTCTTCTTGAAACTCGGCCATGGTTATTCTTCATCGTTGGGCGCCACTATCAGGATCAATGTTCCTTCTAACCTTCTTCGGGAACATACAAGGACCTGACTCGGAACAGAGAGCTTACTAAAGCTATGTTCACTAATTGTGGTAAGTAGACAGGATACAGACGAAGGGTATACAAAACCCTTTATTTTTCTCTATATACAATAACTTCCGTACTTCGGAATACAATGACCCGCCACTCGGGGTCTAACGTAAAAGTATAAAAATAAAACTAAACTCTAATTTAACTTTAGAATAATACACGTGGAAGATTGGCCTTGTAATAACAGGAAGCGTATGTAGCACAGAGACTGTGAACACTACAATACGTTTAAAATTTATCAAGAGGATTAAAACCTCTGGCCTGGAAGGCAAACAGCAACTGCGTAAACTTCTAAGGTAAGCGGCCTGCTTCGAACTCACTGCTTCCTCTCTTCGCTTGGCAAAAAGGCCACACTTAAATACTTGGCGTTCGCCAGACAAACTTTGCATAAAAACCTTCACGCTTATAATTCTGGCCGGAAGTAGAAAATAAGAAGTGATAGTAAAGATTTAAAATAAAATAAACGTTAGTAAAACTTAAGATCCTTACAGTTTAACTGAATGAAATTTATTAATTATTATAGCAATTTGGCTATAAACACATATAAAATTGTAATAAATATATATCGTCAAAATTAAGCTTGGAAAGAATAACATACAAGTAAATTTCATTTCAATTTATTTTTAACATTCTTTAAAAAGATGGCGAGAAATCCTTCTTGATACAAACCTATAAAAGTAAGAATTCCAGGTGATATTATAAAGAACGCATTTATATCACTGAAGAATTTTTAAAAATAATTTATATTATTACATCTAAGCTGGACTCCACAAGTCATATCATGTCAATATAATGCTAAACTGAGTACTTTTATCAAAATAAAAGAAGGAAATTAGTGAAACCTTCAAGAAATGAATTAATTATCTCTGAGAAAGCCTTCGTTTTTACTTAATCTGTGGTTATTATCTGACTGAAATTTTAAGTTAATTCTGGATTTGAAAAACTCACTTTAACTTCCTGCTGTTGGACACCACTGAATTGTGGAAACCCCCTATGACTTTTTGCACGTGCTTCATTGATGTCAGGAATGTTAGCGGCGAACATACATCCTTCATATATATTTTCCACTCTAAAAACATATATATGCATAAAATAGTTTCCTTGTCAGAATTCTCCTTGTCAGATTAAGTAAAAATCGTAGTAGTCATAAAATATTAATATATTCTATTAATTTCTACACAAGATTCAGCTACCTAGTTCTGGTATTTCCGAGAGGTTACTTACGTCGCCTTTAGAATTACGTTTTTCCTACTCATGATAAAATAATTGTTTTGAAACATTGTATAATAGCTATTTATTTATTCAGAAAGAATCATTCAACTACCCATTTATAAAGTTTTAAAAGTTAACAAAATAATATGATAAGTATTTTATGACTGTAAAGAGAAAATGTATAAATTTTCGGGTAAAAATAATAAACAACTTTAATTTATTGTTTTAAAAAATGTTTTTAAGTAAAAACGAAAATTATTTTTAAAACACAAGAAAGTTTTTCGTATTATAGTTTGCAAAACCCAGTTGAAAGTCAGTCGAAAGAAATGGATCATATGATTTAGTTTCACGCACCTAGCCTCCTAGATTCCTAGGTATTAGCCTCTACAGCTTCTTCCTTTGAAAGCCTGTTAACGAAATGGAACCTATCTGGTAGAAAGTTCCAGATCTTGATATTATACTTCGAAATGTCAATAACAAAGTCATAACAAATTGTAAATAAAACTTAGACATTGTGCATATATATTTATATATTATTGACCATTCTACGTTTCAAATTTTTAAAATTACAAAAATCTGAAAGCAAATAATTCTTTCTGAATTACCTATAATATTTTTTCATCATAAAAAATTAACTGTATTTAAGAAATTTAAAGACAACATTTTCGGTAACTTAAGTTAAAAAGTTGATAGAAGTCATTAATCTTTCCTGTTAGTTTATTATCTTATCCACAGGACTGATTTTTAAAACTCAATGTTACAACTTGACACACAGTTTAAAAAGAATGTTGGCAAAACTTTTTATTCAAAAGTTATTTGCAACAATGGTACACTCTTAGTGAAACTTCTGCCGATCTTATGGCAATTCTGCCATTAATGAATCATGTCAAAGATGGCCTTTTCGTAGTAATCCACTGTTTTCCGCATAAAAGTGTTTGACACAATTGTCTTTATGTCATTGAACGACTAGAACGGCTATTTTTCGGCAGCATATTCAGCCAACAGAATCCTCATAGCTACAGGTACAGGTAAAAGTATTGGGGACACCAAGCGATGTACCATGGGTCAGCTGATAATGCCTTCTTATGCAAGAGATTTGGATTGTAGAAAACATTTCTTCCATTTAAGGTTATCTAGTTTGTGGATCACAACCATACCAACATGAATATCTGCGCTATCATTGCAGTAGATTAGTTATAGAAAAATTATTCAGGTGTTTTACCTGAACTACCAAAAGCAGCTGCGCGAGGTTTTCTAGAATAGCATGGTATGCCACAGACCTGCATTGGTTTAATTCTGCAAGAAAAAAAATAATCCCACATCAATCTTTCTAGATTGAAAGAATGACAATACAATGCGCAACTCTGAATATAATGAACACCTCACTAAAAATGGCGACTGATCACAGCGTTTCCATGACTCATGTGTATAAAGTGCAACGAATACACAAGATTGCTATGCTCCCGAAAGAAAGATTTTTTTATCATTCCATATGAATTTAATTGAGATAGTCTAAATGTAATTAATTATTTTGCTTCCAAAATTCTTTATAATACTGATAAAATGAATTTACACGATCATTCCATATGAATTTAATTTAGACGTTCTAAATGCATTTAATTATTTTGCTTTCAAAACTTTTTGTATAGTACTGATAAAACAAATTTACTCGAGTCTTTTACTTCTGAATCTAAATTCTGAATCTAAAATTACAAAAACCTTTTAATGCAACATGTGACTTTCAGTTTAGTAACCCTGAATTGTACCTGATATCGCATTTTGCTTATTGAAATACAAACTCAAATATTAGTTTTATTATCAGTACCTTTTAGCAAACTAAAGCATTTTTATTACGTCTTGATTTTGACATGTACTGCTATTTAAAATAATTTAGTGACAAAAAATACTCTTCTACTATGACACAAACTCAAATAATAATTTTCTACCAATAGCTAACATTTCTTTTCCAATAATTTTGTTAGCTGTAACTTTAATCAGTGTATTACTTATGTTCCTGCAATATGTGTGAGGCTATATATTAAATGTGTAATAATTTGCTTTTCCTTTAAATTTCTCTTCCTGATTAAAAATTTATTCTTTTATGTTCAGTTTGAAAAATAAAAATTTTACTGATATTTTAGAACTGTATTTTTCATATTTTGTTTTAATAAAATATTGAATTAATGTGTAACAACAAATATATTACTATTTCAGACATCATGCTGTTTGACAACACCTACAGTTGGATACGTTCAAAAGAAATCTATTATAGAGTAACCCTTGTTAGTCCTAAGGAGCACGAAGCACGATTATCAGCTTAGAAATGTGTTAAACACTTTATGAATCAACAAATTCTGCCATCAGTTTATTATCTAAGTATATAAATGAAGAATACAAAAATAAAATGTCTGTATTAAAATGTATTGATGAGATTATTTTATTTTCATTGAATATTTTTGTAGGTTACACATGCTGTGGCAACAAATACAGTTTCTAATACATTACAATCTCATTTAATCAAAACCCAGGGTTAAACGAAACTTAAATATATACTTATAATCATTGAACTAAAAGTTGTGAGCGTGATGGGAAAATATTGGAGACTTAAAAAATGACGGTAAATTTGCATCAGCTAATATGCTATCATCAACTTGTCTGAAATGATACGTTTCCTTCCTTTGTTCAATTTACTTATTTATTTATTTTTTTCATGGAAGTACTTTTCAATGGTACATATGAATACTATCCGAAATATACTGGGTGATTCAAAACTTATGGAGAAACATTAAAGCACTCCACTGTTTCTTAACACTCCACTGTTCCTTTAAGGAACAGTGGAGTGTACTACAACAAGAATTATTTCTATTTTTAATTTAATTTATTTATTTATTTGTATATGAATGCAAAGGTGCAAGTGAGTGTTGATGCACAAAGCAAAAAATAACACATGAAAAGAAACATAAATTGTTTAGAGCATAGTTGACAAGTGCTTCTTTATAACAATGTTTAAAATAACTGCTCAAACGTTGGTCTGTCAACAGCAAAATCACATGCATTATCTCCTCGATGGATTTATTGGCCTGTATGTTAGTGAATAGGAAACAGAAGATGGCTTGCAGTGAGTCAAAATTATGTATCTTTACGAATGCCGAGAACGCAAACCTGCGTCTAATGTGCAGGGCTGCTAATGATAATGGAAGAGTAGCGCTATGGCTATATCAAAAACACAGAAAAGGATATACTCCATTTTTTCAGAAAAACGATGCTAGGACACACAATGTTTGAAAGGACGTTTGGTTACCGAACGAACTTGGTGAAAATGACTTTTTTAGCACCAGCAGACAAGAAACTTGTATTCCGAGAGCTATACGAAGTCTCCAGCGAATGAACTTAGCGACGCAGGCACCTCTTGCCACCGTGTACTGTAAGTGCACAGACACTACACACTTTTAAACAGCCATGCCTTCTCCAGGACTGGAGCCCTGGCCAATCAGTACAGCAGCCAGGGTCACCAGCCACTATACTGTAGGGTTTAGATGAAGCCATGCAAGAGAATGAAACATATCCTGAAGATATCCGACAAATGGTGCTCAACTTTTATGTTGCTAATTGTTTGATTAGTGTCAAAACTATACGCTAGGGTGACATCTATTTTAGCCCAACTAGGTAATTAATTATGATATTAACTGTAATTTGCAACAGCTTCACCTATGTAAGAGAACACCATAGTTAAATATATTCTAACTCAACTGCTTCGTTGAACAATCCTATACACTCAAATTGAGTTAATCTTCTATATGTAACACAATCCTATACACTCAGATTGAGTTAATCTTTTATATATAACACAATCCTATACACTCAGATTGAGTTAAAAAAGATACCTGAAGCAAGTTTTAAACAGAATATATGTATTTATTTATACTCGATGATTCTAATATTCAAATGTCTTGTTTGTAAACGTAAGTATTTCTTTTTGAATTCATTGAGAGAAATGAATACTATATGAGAGAAACTTACTGTGTAATAAACATTCAATAACTTTCTTTATATTTGTTAATATTAAACAGCTATACTAAAACACATGTATTTAAGAACATCCTTTATGAATAGCAACAATGCTCAAACAAATCTTTTATATGTAACACAATCTTATACACTCATTGAGGGAAAAAGGATACCTGAAGCAAGTTTTAAACTTAATATATGTATTTATTTATACTCAATGATTCTAATATTCAAATGTCTTTGTTTGTAAATGTAAGTATTTCTTTTTAAATTCATTAATTGTCATCTTTGGACTGTGGCTTGGCAGTTAGAGGTTAACTCTCTAGATATATGTCCAAAATTTAGTCCTATGAGATAAAAACGCATATAATATATGAACAATCTGAAGGCTTAAATGCTGAAAACTCTTATTATGTTGCTGTCGCCCAATGTATCCTCATCCAGCTAGTGAATCAAAGAATTATCCGTAGTATAAAGACGGATCTACAGATACAATATTTATGCATTCGATGCGTGAACTTTAAAATAGTGTCAACGATTTTCAGAAACACTTCATATGTTATGTTATGATACGCTATGTAGAAGTGAGGGGGCCACCTATTATTTAACCTAAGTAAGCAGGTATTAGCCCCACACACTTAACTAGAAACCTAACAACATTCTGGCATCATTCCTCGAGTCGTGATGGAAATTGTGACTCCAGTGAGCACTCTGAAGACGGCAGTATTTACTTTGTCGCTTTTCTGGGAAGTCGTAAAGATCAAGATTTTTAAGTTGTTGTTGGTGTAAATTGTGGCTTATGATTATGTTCGTACATGCCAAATCGAGTGACAAAGATTCTCTTAATTTTGAAATGCGTCTGGCGCTCCTGACAGACATCTTGGATTTACTTTTATTCGGAGAAGATGTGTTAATTATGAAACTGAGGTTAACTTATGATATGATTACCGTTAACCTTAGTTTTTAGCTTAGATTGTTAGTTCTGATCGTAAAAAGACGGCCAGTTAGGATTTAAAAATCTGTTATCTTTCCACTAGTTTAGTCGCAAAGAAGGTCGCAACGGAGGACGCAACGAAGGTCCAAGGTCACAACGAACGTCTTTGTTGCGATTACTTAAATTTTGGCGAGGAAAGATATAAGGTTCTTTTCTGTTAATTAACCAGTTTTCCCCCCCTTTTTTTTATTTATTTATTTATTTTTATTTTTTTTATTTTTTTTTATTTTTTTTTTATTTTTTTTTTATTTTTATCCTTCCATTTCCCTTTCGTTTTCTCGCCAAAATGCAAATTTGGTTCGCATGTGTTTAAAGTGAAGTTTCTGGATTTTGTGAGATAAATCGTGTTCTGGTTCTCAGGGCCATGTTACTAGCTTTCTAGATCAGATAAGATTTGTAGTTTTCGGCCTTGAATCTTAATGGCCGACAGTTGATACGCATGCCGGTTTAAATTTTGAGACACTTCGCGTTAACTGATGTGTCTAGCCTTCGACCACTAGTTTAGTTGAATTTAAATTTTACATGTGACGTACTGTACTTAAGTTATCACGCCACAAGTGGCTGGCTGAGTTGTAAGCACAAAGGGTGTTTTCTGTTCTTATTTAGTTTTAAATAAAGAGTTTTATACACCCTTCTAAAGTTTCAGATGTTACTTAGAGATAATTCGCTTAATTATCTATCTAAAGTTTAGTTACAGGGTATGATTGCAAGAAGATATTTAAATTTTACGAACATTAATGAATATGCTATGGTTAGAGTATGCCTAGAAAATCTGTTAGATAATGAATTTCTGTTATCCAGAAATTCTTATTATAATTTAAAAATTCCTTTTGAACCTTCGGTTTTCAAAATATGCTATCCATTTTTCAATTGATTATCTTTTCTGTAAACGAAAGCAGGACACGTAAATTTTCTTTGTCTAAAGAATAACCACGGAATTATTTTCTGCTAATTTCAGTGCTTATTTTTTGCAATAATAATAATATTAGCTATAATAAACAGAGAAGACTTAGCATTTTATAATTATAAAAATATTTCGTTATCGAAAAAGATTTTATCATTAGAACAATACAATTCCAGACAAAGAGGTATGGAATTATTTTAAATTACGCTAAATCAGCGACTTTGACTAACTCGTACCATCTAACCAAAAATTGAAAACTTTAGTACTACTACTATATTTTGCAATGATTATTTCTCAATTTCTCAATAAAAATATTTTAAAAAATATTTTACAATTTGCAGAACCTATTGGCTATTTATATTAAATTTGAACACATAAAAATATTAGATTAAAAATGATTAGTACTTCTACTATCAAAATTTAAGTTATAATAATTTAATTCTAATATGTATTGTGAAATTTGGACCTGTTGAAGAGAGATCAATTTCTTTATGTCTGTCTGGTCTTATTCCACTTAGTTTAAACAATAAATTAGGATCCACTTTTAATTTTGTTCTGTATTTATTTTTCAAATATAACATGGAAGGAAATCCTTGTTCACACAAATAGGTTGTGCAAAAATGCAGTAAAAATTTTATAGCTTTATTAGAAATGCTTTTAAAGTCTTTTTTTTTTTTTTTTTTTTTTTTTGCTCATCCAAAAGTTAACAAGTGTGCTATTTTTGAAATCTTCAGTTAGAGCTCGATCATAAGAAATGTCTATCAATTGTTCTTTTTCTTCCCGAGATTTTTGAATTTAGTAGTTAAAAATACTTTGCGTACCGCCTCTTTTTCTCTTGCGTACCACCGGTTGAGAATCGTTGCTCTGAATTATAATAAAAATTTCAATACTACGTTAACAATAAAAGATAAAATTAAAAAAAATTCAAACCGTTAATCAGAAGTTCGTGAAAAAGGTTTTCTCTTACAATTTAGATTTTTTTTTCAAATCAATTATAATTAATGTGTTTATACTTCATTTATTAAGATCGTAAGAAAATATTAATAGATTAGGATTTTTGACGCTGAGAGACGTGGAAAATGAGCAAAGCCCTCGTCGGGACTTGAACCTCTCAAATACGCGCTGAGTTTGCTAGTCATTACACCACGAAGCCATGCTAAGAAAGCGGGAGAAATACCCTACATACTCCTCCTTTTAAAGGGCGGCTGAGTATTAGGGGACCCAGTCGCCAACCTGGTAGTGGAGAATCATCATCCACCATCTTTTTTTTTTTTTAGTTCGGGTGCTATTGTAGAGACATTAGGGTTTTTGATTTTGAGAGACGGGAAAAATGAGAAATGCCCTAGCTAGGGCTCGAACCTCGGACCTCTCGAAAATGCGCCGAGTGTGTTGGCCATTATACCACGAAGGCATGCTAAGAAGACGGGAGAAAGTAAGTTCTTAAAGAATAAACCTTTAATTATGCTTTTTAATTAATTGATTTCCTAACCCTTTCGGGACGGGCGACCCATATACGC